CCCCCCCCTCGCCAACGGCACATGACCAGAACCTGACAAGTGAGTGCTGCGCGTGTCGACCTCCTCGAGCATCTCGTCCTGGTCTCGGAGCCTAAGTACTCCACGCGTGTCGATGCTTACTGCTGCCCGTCAATGAATAGATACGGCACCGAGACGCTCTCAGACATTGTAGCCCGCGCTGAAGCTCAAGCATCGTCCTACGGCATCAAGCTAGAAGCGTTGCAGACGAATCACGAAGGCGTCTTGTTGGATCGCATACACGCGGCCAGGACGGATGGGACAGAAGCGAGTGAGTCCTTTGCACCGCCGCCCTCCAAGACACACTTCGCCCGACCAAGCCCCACCACTCGCTTTTCTGATCCACGTCATTGCTGCTCATCTTTGCAGTCGTCATCAATGCGGGAGCGTGGACGCATACGAGCGTAGCCATCCGGGACGCATTACTAGGTATCGACTGTCCCTTTATCGAGCTTCACGTGCGTACCCTTTCCTCCGTTCCTCGAGCCTCAAAGAACAGCTCATCTCGCTCGTTCCACCTCCTGCTCACGCTCGCGCTGACACGCACGGCTCTTTTTTTTTCCCAGATATCCAACACGCACGCCCGAGAGTCTTTCAGGCATCACAGTTACCTCAGCGACAAAGCCAGCGCCGTGATTCTAGGCATGGGAACATTGTAGGTTCTTCCAAACATGATACCTTTGCATCTCGATACGACAACGAGGGCAAAGCGTTGACCCGTCCCCCTCTCCACTTCACACCTTCCTCGTCCGCGCGCACAGTGGATACACGGCAGCTATCGAGCATTGCGCTCGCAACCTCAGAAAGGGAGGTCTTTCTAAATAAAAAACACCGACTTCTTGAGGTCTCATGCAGCTACTTGATGGGCAAAACGCTATCAGAGCGTAGGTGACGTATCACGATTCCCAAGAGTGTCGCAGATCACATAGCGAAGTAGCAATGGAAAATTTCCAAGCACTATGAGAATTCCGTACGTCGTGAGCGAGCGCAAGAGTCGTCTGGGAGAGAGCAAATTTTTTTTACACATGGGATGACGAAAGTTTGG